CAGACATGGGCATAGATGTGGAGACAGACATGGGCATAGATGTGGAGACAGACATGGGCACAGACATGGGCATAGATGTGGAGACAGACATGGGGACAGACAAGGAGACAGACAAGGAGACAGACATGGGGACAGACATGGGCATAGATGTGGAGACAGACATGGGCATAGATGTGGAGATAGATGTGGAGACAGACATGGGCATAGATGTGGAGACAGACATGGGGACAGACAAGGAGACAGACAAGGAGACAGACAAGGAGACAGACATGGGGACAGACATGGGCACAGGAATGAATGCATGCCAGTCATGGTAACCGTCCCAAATGTTCAGTCAAATGCTTGATGCATTTGTGATATGTAGATGTGGTGTGTATTTAAATAATGTAGGTCAGGTTGTCCCTAAATGAAAAATTTGCCTTGATTTCAGCCAAGGAAGGGATTGATATATTTCCAATAAACCATTCGATTGGGGTGAAACACTGAACATAATGCATTTTACATCGACAAAATGCTCCATTCCTTAATATAAATAGCTTCTCTCTGGAGGGTGATAACTGAGCTGTTCTCAGGACTTGTCCAGCATGATCTTTAAATCATCTTCTTTTGTTTAAATGAAAACTAGAGCATGGACTATCTATGGATCTGGTAATTTAAAGGGTCTGTAAGAGTAATCCTCCTCCAAACACTTACTGATAGTCTTTATGAAATTGATAACCATGGAATTCTTGCACCAGAAAAGAAAAAAAAAACTTTACCTAAAGTGGTCATCATAATGCATTATAGACACCTGCATAATGCATTATAATGCATTCATAAAGTACTATAAACACAGCTATAACTATGTTTAAAAATGCATAATACATTATAGTCATATTTCTAATGCATTATGGATGCTCTGTGAAGCTCCCATCTACAGTGCACTACAGATACCTTCATATTGCATTATAATGATAAGTATAAGAATTAATGAAACATTAAAACATCTTCTATTGACATTGATAAACCATTATAGTATTGATTATAATACTTAATAAGCTCCAGTGAAGCGCCTCTGTAACACACTATAGATACCTTCATAATGCAGTAAAATGGTCGGTATAACAATTAAGGTTGCTGTGTACCGCATTATGAAGGTATCTGTAGTGCATTATAGATGAGAGTTTTGTAAAACATTCATAATGCATAATAAACACAGCCATAATGTGTTATAAATATTTATAACCATGTTTATAATGCTTCGTGAATACATTATAATGAATCAAAATCATTATAATGTGTTTTGAATGTTCATTGATTCTTATGATATTCACAGAAAGTGTTACCAAAGCTGCTAATGACTGAACAAACTTAACATGCAATAAGTTTTTGCAAAATGAAACATCTAAAAAACATCTAAAAAGGATGTCAAGATGTTGTCAGAAACAACATAATACATTTAAACACTGTGTACTCTTCAACAAGACTAGGGTGTCTATCCTGCAATGCTCACTGATGATCCATGCAGGTACCACTTAAATTGTTCTGGAGATCTTGAAAAAGGCTGCGCCACAGACCTACACTTGGCAGCCAGCTGCCGCTGTCTGGATATTGTACACCGTACATCGACGTACAAGACGGTCCTGTGAAACTGTCATACATTAAGGCTCTATTTTCAATCATTGAAAGTCAGCCCGTTTTCGAGTTATTCGCAGCAATTTGTTAGCGAGATCACATCCATTGGTGAGAAAGGAGTGGCGTTGAAATTCCGTGCACTCAGCGGAAATGGTGAAGCCTTTAAAGGTAAGAGTCACATCATTTATAAAGCACATTGGTGGGTGATACAGTGCTATGTGCTGCATCAGCACCCAAACTCATAAGTCATATTTCCTCTACAAAAGTGCTGCAGTGCGCAGATTAGCTTTCTCTCTCGCCTTTTTAATCCTGCATGATCAAAATGCAAAACATTCTAACTGCATTAAATCCAAGAGTGTACCTCTAATCTTTTATTCTTTCAATAGCATGCCTCTACTGTGGCACTTTTTAATCATGCATAGCCCTCAGAACTGCCTTTACCTTTGTTCTGAAGGACTGGCCCCAACATCGTACTGAAAGTGACAGGCAAGAGGCTGTAGCTCTAATGCAGAATCCGCTACTCTGTTTCTCCAGGAAATTCTCTACAGAGGAACAAAACTACAAGTGGCTAAATAAGCTCTGTCATCTTGGAACTCATTTTCAGCAGCACTGAAGAGATTAATTAGACAACGCGAGCACCAATATTAATGTGTCGCATCCAAATATTATCTCACATAGAACACTCTAATGTTAACTACCTTATTTTTGATGCGGTTTCTGGTCTTCGTAAATAAAATGTTTTGGTCGCTGCGAAGTTTTCCTGCTGTGCTGAAGAAGCTCAATGTATCCTCATCTATTTGGCCAAAACATTGATCCACACTTTGTCTGACGCACAATACCACCGGGTGGCCATGGCAACCTTGACCTGGATTGTAGCCAAATAGGAACTGTTGCTATGGAGAGCAAATGGAGTGGCAGAGACTACCCCGCCACCCTCCTTTGTGGCCTGCTGTGTTTTGGCGGGTGTCTTCCCCTCTATCCAATGGCCCCTGCTCTCCTTCAGACAAACAGCTGGTCTGTGACCAATCAGCCTGTTGCTGTGACAACTTCCCACAACCTTTTACCCTGATACTTTCAGGGTGTCCATAAATAAATAAATTAGTTAAAAGTTCTTCCCATGAACCGTCCGCATGAGCATTTGAGGTTGCGGCCCTACTTCAGCTCAATAACTTTTAGAAGTTTTTTTTGTTGTTGTTTTATTTCGGTTCTGTGGCCATTTAGCCCCCAATCCATTATAGATTGCCAATATGAAGTCTGCCTGAAAAAAATCTGCAGGGAGCTATTCTGCAGCTCTGAGTGCAGTAATAATGTAAGTCAGCAACCTCTTTCAAACAGCAATTCCTTTTTTCCACTATCCCCAAAATCCCTGGTTGCCATGGAGATAGTCGCTTGGCTCACTTTTTTTTTTTTTTTTTTTTTTTAACGAAAATAGGAAATCAATGACAGGCTGCATCGTTGATTCCTTATGCTACAGTATGTGAGAGCAGGTTAGAGAGGCACTGGATGGTCATAAATGGGGCCAATACTGAACTGTTAACTGCAGTCCTTGAAATGCTCAGGATCACAAAGATGGACAGACAGAGCCCAGTGACACAGTCTGGTGTTAAATTACGATGCACTCACTCTAGACCACCGCCCAATACGAAGCTCCTAGTATTAATCAATAGCGGAAAAGCCACGCAGTTCACAAAGGCTCCGGAGTTAAAGTGCACATCAGCAAATCTAATCTTTGTACAGTCAACACGTGACAAATGTTTCCTTCGGAAAGAGTTGATGGCAATCGCATATCAGAGATGTCAATATTCATTGCAGCCATCTTCTTCCTCTTTCCACCTCCCAAGTTGTCATGGTAACTGCCCACTGTCAGCAAAAACAAACCACTAAATAAGATTGTCACAAGATATAATGTAATGGTTTAAAACTGAACAGTCATCGATAATTATATTTAAACAGTACCCCTTCACTTCTGGCTCATAAACTAAGAAACAGCTTTACTTATGCGGAATATTGCAGAATGAAATTCACATTCATTTGTCTGCTTTGGTATTTTGTGAGTGCCTTTGTCTTGTTTTGTGCGGTCCAATCCTGCTACAAGCTACTTTCTGTATGGCATGAGTAAGAATTCCTATACACTGACCTACAAAAGGCAAATGAAGGATCTTGAACCTGCCAAGGCTGTACTTCCATAGCTGGGGCTTGCCTTCAGGCTAGGAGTGAATCGGACACTTGCCCCTCCCCCCTCCCCCCAGCCCCCAGCCCCCAGCACAGTCCCAGCGGTCTCACCGTGTGTGAGGTCAGAGACACCGCGGACTCCCTGGTGCCCCAGCAGATGCGTCTCACTGAGCAACAAAGGACACGATTGTCCCCTATATAAAGGCAGGAAGGCTGGAGGTCCCACATTCACGTGCCCATCTGTGTCCAAGGTCCCATGGAGCTTATATTAAAGACAAAAGGCAAAATGAGCTAGAAACTGTGCTGGCCATAATGGATATGGAACAATGGGTGAATAAGTAACTAGCAGCAGACGTAAACGCGTTGAATAAAGACATTCCCATGATGTCTGTCGATCTACTGATGCTCAGGGTGTTGGCTGTAGAGATTAATGCTAAGTTCACACTACATGACTTTCCATGTTCACACTACACAAATTATTGACTTGTAATCGGGAATCTTGAAGTCATTGTGATTTACGCACTGCACAACCCATTACTAATAGAGTGACCAAATTCTGATTGTGCCGAAAGTCTACTTGAGAGCTAAGCGTTCCTGGTAGTAAATATTCCCATCCCAATACCTTTGCAAACAGCGTTTGTTGTATTCAGAATGTTATGACTTTAGTGTAGTTTATTCTATTATGAAAGTTCTGGGAAACTTACATTATATGTTTGCAAAATGGTACTCGAGATTTTATCAGGCTTTTGGAGGCCTACTGTTCATTTATATTTAAAATGCTAAAGCCTGCTTACGTGATTTTCATTTTAATTAGACTGGAAGTGATTGATATACCTTCACAAGACTTGGAGATGACCAATATTTCAATAAAAATAAGATTTTACTAAACAGGCATTTTCAATAAAAGTAATTGAACAAAGTGCAGCAGCATGTAGTGTTGCTAAAACGGACTCTTGGAATCGAACATTCAATTTCTTAAATGAACAGTTTGGTAGAATGAGTTCTGTAAATTGAACCGAACTTCCCATCACTAATTTTCACCTTTTTTAAACTCCTCCGTCAGGTTTCACCTCACCCCATGTCCTGCACTCTGATTGGCTGTAGCTCATCACTGCACTCATTACTAGTCACAACACTTTTAACACTACGGGATTTGGAATCACTGACAGGTCCAGATATTTACCCTGCTAGATATCCGACGGCCATTGCTGGCTGTTTTGCCTCTGATCTGGTGGTTTTGCGGGTGATTTAAAAAAACTGTTGGGGAGCAGAAAGTCAGTGCTAAAATCATGTAGTGTGAGCACAACAAAACTATCACATAATTACCGGTTAATTGCATGCAATGGATGCTACGGTTTGTCATTGGAATCTTCCAGCGTATTTGAGTCCCCTGTAGCCTGTACATGGTTTCATCCATTAGTGACCTGTTTCTGTTTCAGTAACTCAAGAGAGACTATCATTGTATTTGGTCTGAATTTAAATGATCAATGAAACATTTTCAATGCCTTTGCTCGATTGCAGCAGATCCATATAGTGTATTTTCATAAAGCCAGAAAACCACATATTTAACTACTGCACTCATTGTGTTAACTGGTGTTCACTGTTACGCAGGAAAGACTTGAAAACTCAGCTAACTGAGGTACCCACGTAATAAATGCACGTTGTACAATCAGAATTAAACGGCATGATTCACAGCAAGACCCGAATTAGCGCCGAAGCTCTTTGTTCTGACATATGGCGAAAAAACAGATCTTTAAAGACACACTAATACCAATGAATATTGATTAATACGTTACATGACAAATGTTTGCAATGGCTTCCTTTGTCAGGGAACTGCTATTTCTTCAGACTGTCAGTTTAAACCACAGAAACCTTCTTGTAAAACTGTCATTATTTTTGCAGAGAGCTGCTCCAAATTAACTGCCTGTGTGTATAACTCTGAATAGGCAACCCAAATCACTTCCCATTCTTAAACCCTCTTCAGCACCAATTCCCAGAATATGGTTTCTCTTATGAAGGGATTAGTCTCTGTCACCCAGTGAAATAGCCCTTTGCTGGATTGTTAAGCCTTATGCACATTGAGCCTGTTGCTCTCTCTCTCTGTCTGTCTCTCTCTCCCCCAAAGATTTAAAAACAGTAGATCATTCAGTTTTGCTTGGAGCCTATTGTTTATCCACTGCTGAACCATGTGACCTTTGACCCCTAATCATGTTGGTCTGACAGCCAGCTGAAAGCATGTCACGCAGGCTCCACCCAGAATACGTACCATGCAGTGTCCTTAGCTGCAACGTCGCCTAGTGACCAATGTACTGATGGGAAAAACCGCAGCCACATTTGGGAACCAAAAGCTTGCACTATGTGGTATTTTACACATGGTGGAGAACTGAAACTGCTTCCCCCCCCAAAAAAAAGAACTAAATTTAGGGATAGGAGAAGGTCACAAGTTCACAATTCATAGGTTATGTCACGTAGATAAATGCTGTAAATTTAGCAAAACACGGAATGTACATTTAGACAGTGAGCCACTATAGTGGCCATTGTGCTTTTTGCAAAGTTGAAAATGCTAATAAACAGATGTCATTATTTCATTTATGTTTCATGCTGATGGAAGAACAAGACTTTCATTGTGTAGCGCAGCTGAGTGTTTGCTGTGCATGTAACAATGTAACAATCAACTGTCAAATCTTGAATCCATACAGTTATTTTTACCCCCCAAAACACACTGGGCACCAGAAATTTAGCGTCTCGTCCAATCAAATCCCAACACGTGAACCTGGGTACCTGACCATGTGGTGACCTACGCATAGTGCAGAGACATCATCTGCAGAGATTACTGGATCACAGTCCAGAAAAACAAATGATTGTTCTTTCCTTCCGTGCCCTCTAAGTGGAGCAGGGAAGTATGGGCATCATTCGAGGATTTACAACGTGACCCTTAGTAGTGTTTACTGTCCAAGAAACATTGTGCTTAACATAAACTACCTTGGAAATTGATTCACTCAAATTAAAACCAGGACTTAAGTACATCAAAGAACTAACAAAGGAGCACTTGTAACTCATCTCTGAGGAATCCATTGCTGGCCACTTGCTATAAAGGCTCATGAAGTTAATTATTATAGAATCGAGAACCACATAACTTGTGCATTTCTAACTAGGTTCCACATCTTTCCAGCCTTATCCTACAGTTGTAGAAGTAGCAGAAGGTCCAACAGTATCAGCACCAGGGTTCGCAACTTTGGTCAGCTGGCTGGCAGGAGATTTTCAGTTTGAGACAAGTCTGCACACCCACCCACCCATACACAGACAGGCAGACAGACAGCCAGACAGACTAACTTTATTAAGTTATCATGCATGTAACAGCTTTATTACCCAGTAAATAGTCTGTAGGGTTTGCAAACTACCCCAACGCTTTTGATGTAGCTAATTTTAGGTTTGTAATGGAATAATACACATTTCCTGTAACATTTCTTGCATGAGTATGAGAGTCAGAAAGTGTGTGCGTCACGCCAGATGCACGAGAGGAGCCAGCAAAGCAGCCCAATTCACCCAGATGAGTTTTCTCAGGCTATAAACAGTATTTTTGTTTGGCAATAGGTCGTTTATGAAGGCCTGGAG